GGGTTTCGGGCCAGGGCTGCTGGCATCCTCCCGGGCTCGGCCTTGACTTCTGAGCTCCCGCTCTTCTCGCGATGGCTGCGGAGGGGAGGCAGGGGGTAGACCTCTCCCGGGCACACACACACCCAGCCGCACCGCCTCCTCCCCCAGGGCTGCCAACGCTAGAGCTTCTTCGTCTGAGCGATCGAGCCCGAGGCCTCCCCTCGTCGGCCACGCGGCCTCTTGGTCGAAGTCGAACGAGGCTCTTGCTGGCGGGCGGGCGGGCCCCCGAGCAGGCAGCCGCACCGAGGCAGGAGACGGGACGAGGCAGGGAGAGTTCCCCCTTTTAAAAAGTCCCCAGAGGAAGGAGGGAGACGATTCCGATGTGGAAAGGGAGCCTCAACCCGCCCCAACGCGAGCCCGTCGCCCGCAGGACCGGGGTCTGGGGCCGCCGGCGGGGCCCGATTCCGCTTGCACCTGCCGCACGCATTAGTCGTGCCCTTTCAGCCATTGCTCCGGGCCCAGCCACGGTGAAACACTCCAAAGTCCCACGGAAGTCAACAGGAAAGAATTAAACTCGCGCCTTAACTTTCTCTTACAGGGCTTCGTTTTAAACCGCCATGAAAATATCAACATTTTTATTACAAATCCCTAGACTGGGCACTCTCTGCAGACTCTGCAGAAACTTCCTAAGGCTGCAATCCTTTGCAAATTACCTGGGAGTAAATCCCGTTTAACTCAGTGGAACTCCCTTTCCAGTAAACACGTGTGGGGTCATGCCGCACAACGAAGTATTCTGCGGCTGAATTCTTTTCATTCGCTTCCAAACGATACTTCCTCCTCCTCCTCCTCCTCCTCCGTGTTTCTGCAATGGACTAACCCATATAAAGATGCACGTATATTCTCTAAATAAGGCGGCTGTCCCGCAGAAATGTGTAACGAAGATGTACCCAGCGTAAATAGCAATGGGTGATAACACAAATAATAATGTCTGTGAAAATGATCCGACCCAGGCATCCTAGGTAACGAGGATTAAAAAGGGGGCGGGGACTTAATCCGAACCAAAAAAAAAGTCACCCAATATTTATGAATGGCTGGTAATCGGTGACCTTTATTCATTCATGTTCCAAGTATGTCCACGGCGCTTGCGGGAGCTCATCCCTTCTCCAGAATAAATCAGCTCTGGTGGGTGCGGGTTTAAACGAGCGAAAACCCTGTCCTTGACAATTCAACGCGTGGTTCCTTCCGAGTGCGGGGGGGGGGGAGCGAATAGGCTCTCCCCGTGGCCAGTGCGGTCTCTCTCTCCCCCCCCGTACTTTCTCCCTTGAGGAACGCCACTCAGACCGGCCAATCAGCGGACAGGCGTCTAGTCGCCCGGGACACGGTTTGGCCCAGATGATGGAATCCTTTGGAACGGGCCGTCCCGGGCGTCTGTCCAGGCTCGGAGGCTGAGAGGAGGTGCTCCTTCTGAAACAGCTCGGTTCAAAACGAAATCAGAGGCCCTCTCAATGGGGCGGCTGCTCCTGGCGAGGTGCGCACTAGTTACCACCACACTTACAGCTGAGGAGATCTGGATAAGCGGCTTTAATTCAAACGAAGAAAGTAGCTGCAGTCCAGACAATATCGCTGGTCCCTCTGAACCTACATGTATTTGTTTAGAAATACAATCCGTGGGTCTTAATGGGACGCGCACCGCTTTGTATTAGGAGAGCAGGAGACCGTTTCCCGCACCTTTCCCCCCCTCTCGCCCACCCCCGCTCCCAGTCGCGTTTCCTGGGTGCTGCAACGGCCAAACTAAATCCCGTCCTCATAAGATCGCGCCTCCAGCTGTGTCCTGGGAACTCTCCCTCGGGAGTGGCTCAAAAGACAAAATTCTACACAGGGGAGAAACCGGGGTCTTCATGTGCTGATTGCGGGAACTGGTGCCATCTACGCCGTCTGAATCGGGCGCCGTTTACGGAGGGATACAAACCTGTTAATCCCGATTCGAGAGCGCCACTGCTCGAGAGTAAGAGGTGACTCCCGCGTTGCGCGGGAAGGCCAGGACCGGGCGGGCGGGAGCGGAGGCCAGGCACCTCCGGCTCCGGGACCCTCCCCCCCGCTGCCGCCGTCGCCGCCGCCGGCGCCCGCGGGGGCTGATTGGGACCATATGCCGGGCCCCTGGCGAGCCTTTCTTCTGGGCGCTCCCCGCCGGCCCCTCGGAGTCACGGCGCGGTTTCCTCCCGGCCGGCGGGGATGATTATCTCGCTTCCCCCCAATTAAGGGCTTAGCCGCCCTGGCAACGGAGCTCATGTGGCGCAGTTTACCGTGGGCCCCGCCGCTGAAAGGCCTTCTGCTGGGATCCCATTACGCGCTTGGCTGAGCCCTTTCTGCCCGCAGCGCTGGGACCGGCCCCGCTCAGGTGCCCGGTTACAATAGGCGCGCCGGCAGGGGACGGGCCCGCCGCGGGGGCGAGGTGCTCGAGTCGCCGGGCCTGGCCTGGCCGGGCGAGGCCCAGCCCCAGCCGAGCGGGCGAGGGGCACACAGGGCCCGGGCTGGCAGGGAAGGGAGACCGGCCGGCGGCACACACGCACGCACACCCCTCCCCCCCTCGGCCCGGCTCCTCTGGTGCCCAGAGAAGCTCCCCTCCCTCATCGGCCGCTTCTGAAATAGGGGCTCGTTTCTGGAGGGCCCTTTCAGGCGTCCGACCCCTTTCTAGCAGCTGCAGCACCACAGCCCATTCCTTTCCAGCCTCCGCGTGAGGGTTTTATCCCGCGTCTATTTTCGGATGCGGGTTCATATCTCTCACTCCCCCCCGGCCAGGGTGTCCCTGTCAAGGGACCCCCCCCCGGAACAAAAGGG